TACTTCTTCAAGACCAAGATGTACTGAAGGGCTACGAGCTAATTCACTGACAGTGCTAATCCTGACTCGCTTAACTTCTGGGAGATGTTAAACTCGGGAGGCGTGATCAGATGTAGCACCAGTGGCATGTACATGACATAGCTTGTATAGATGTATGTTTCACTGCAGCCGTTTGTTCAATCCGTTTGTTCAAGTTTGAGCTAAAAGTGTGCCTAAGCTTCAACTACAACCTTTGGGACTGTGACCCTACGTCACTGAGTTTAAGAGCCTAAATTCTCCGTTCAATTTGGTACCTTGCTCAGAGGCCAGGGGTGTTGATTTTCTAAAGCGCTCAAGCATTTCCATATTCTGCAAGTGATTTTGTACAGACATTATGTTGATGTTGTGGCCATTGATTATGTAATATGCCCTTGGTCACGGTCCCCTTGCTGAGGGGTGGGGGGTTTGATTTTGTAGGGCTTGTAAGCCTGGCGAGGCTGGGGTACATGATTTTATGCAAAAAAAATAATACGCCCAGGGTGGTTAAACCCCCTTTTGGTGTTTTACTTCTCAAGGTTCCCTAAGCAAATCCAAGTCACGAGTGTTCATTCGTGACCATCGATCTCCCTTCGGGACGTTCTGCGTTCTGCAGAGTTGAACAAGAAGCCACAGCCACAACCCCCGCTCTCTTATTGGAGAGTCCGGAGAATGCCAAATTATACTATATACATAACCTGATGACACATCATCCATTGCTGGGTATACGGATTCGCGGTGAATCCGACAACACCTACCTCCCATCGGGCCGTGTCAGACTCTCTCCTATCGGGTTGGTCCGAGAGATGGTGGCCCTTTGTGGATCCCTTTACATCGAGAAGGACAATGGATGTGACAATATTATATTACTGCCTGGAGACTAACATGGGGCGGTTTCGATCACATGACTGCCTCTCCAACCTGGAGATTGGAACTTAGATGTCAAAATCGTATGATCGCATGATACATAGTTAGATATAATGAGATCATTTGTGAAACAGACATGTATTTATTTATGTGATCACATGTGACCGGCTCCGGCCGATCGGGCAAGGTTTCTTACACGAAAAGAAACACCGGCAAGAAAATCGAGAAAGCATTGATGCATATTGATGCCAGGAACAGCTAGTAAACAAGAAATGATATTTTGTATATATATATATATATACTACTAGGTTGGCAAATCCAGAAAGCAACATCATCATCCTAGTTTCTCACCTCCCCATCTCCCGGCCCAAAAAACGATGCCTCCCGCGGTCGTGGAGTGGTTTTGCGGGTGGTGGCCAGGCCCAACGAATATGAGCTGGCGGATTGGAGAAATGCTCCGCCCATCTCTGAGCAGGTGCGACCACCTAGAGATTTGCCACAGAGTCCCTTGGACGCACGCCAAGGAGTCCGAGCCCCAAGGACAAAGGATCGATGCCCCAGAACACACCCCGTGAGGTGGAGCCAACCAAAAGCGGTTCAGCCATCCGCAGGCGATGTGTGTTAAGCCATTGGGATCATTGGGCCCCGTCAAGAGCAATGCTGCGGACATGCCCAAACCATCGCGGCCGGGGAGTCAATATGGCAGGTTTCGCTTGGTCGCTGGCCATGTTGGACCTATACATAGATCGCGAGAAGCGGTCAGGTGCAGGTAGATGCGTAAACACCTCGTTGATCAAGTCCATGGGTCAGAGTACTTAGCTTCAACGTTTGCACCGGGCGACTCAGGCAAAGAGGAAGAGGATCGTGAACGAATGCCTCCGCCTCCTCTCCCTGTGCGAAAAGACCGGGGCCCCATACTGGAGGACCCGGTTACCCGGTTGAGGTGGACAATTCTGAGTTCGATCTGGCAAAATACAAGATGTTGAAAGAATCCTCATGAGAGAGAGAGAGAGAGAGGGCTCCAAATTCATCCAAATTTGGTGTGACACTGGCGTGGGGGGGGCCAAACTTTGCCCATTTTGTGAGATCCTTTTGGAGAATTCTTTCTGAGCAGATGTTGGGGAAGCCTATGTAAGTTTTTCCCCACCTGCCAGGTGAGGGTTGTTAGATTTTATCACAGTTGTTCTTCCTCCTTCCTCCTTCCTTCCTTCCTTCCTTCCTTCCTTCCTTCCTTCCTTCCTCCTTGCTTCCTTCCTCGCCAATCTTCATCGCCAATCTTCATCGCAAATCTTCTTCGCCAATCTGCTTCGCCGATCTTGTCTGGCAAGCTCCGGATCGCAGTGTGCACCCCTGGACCTCAACCGCAAGGATCCGATCGCA